GCGCGCGCGCGTAACGCTTCTCCTCTCTCCCGCGCAGCCACCCGGCTGGAAGAAGTAGCAGGAATCCGAGCGAAGTTCCCGACAAAAATCCCGGTAGGTCTCTGTTTTGTTGTCGGAGTTGTCGCCGCTGTTGGGAACCGCTTTCTAAAGCGGGTGGGGAGGGGGGACGGGACACACACGACACGGACGGACAGACACCTGGGTGTTCTAAGTCTTGCTAAGTGTGACCCTAATTAAAACAGGTAATTGTTGAGAGATACCATAAAGAGAAGTACCTTCCTCTCTTGGACAAAACCAAGTTTCTTGTTCCCGAGGAGCTGACCATGACGCAGTTCATAACCATCATCAGGTAGGTGGCCAGCGCCCCTGGGCGGGGCGGCGGCGGGGCCGGAAAGCGCTGCTCTCCGGCGCTGGGCTGGCGGTGGTGGGGAGGAGGATAACGGTGTAATAACGGCTTCCCTCTCTTGCAAGCGTTTAAAGAAAACCAACAGATGTTTCCACAGATGCATTTGGGGAAAAAATGCTTTTTTGGATTCCGAAAGTCTTCTCTCTTCCCCCTAGCTGTAGTGAGTAAAGGCTGTATCAGACTGCTGTGGCGCTTTCTTCCTGCTCGATGAACTTGGTACTGTGGCTTCTGTGGTTCTGTTCTGCTTACAGCTGTCACTGCCTTGCTCTCCTTTGCTGTGTTTGCCCAAGTTCGAAGCTACTCTTAGGTGTGAGTGGAATGAAAGTGCTTCCAAATTATTCTTTGAGACACTACAGGGAAGAAGTCTCCCAAAGCATTTAGTGATGGTCTCTGACAAAGCATGAAAGCTATGTGCTTTTCAGCACGCTTTTTAAAGTATGGAAAAGATCTTTGTAGACAATAGCTTCTGTAAAAGATGCTTTTGGCTCTTGGATGACTTAGGTCCTGCTCCTCGTGTGTAACGTGTCTGAAAATGACTCTTCTTTTGAAGGTACGCTTTATAATAAGTGTAACAGACCATGCTGAAATCCTTTACTACAGCTGTACTGCAGAAGCGTTTCGTTTCTACTCAGCACTTCTCCCTGGTAATTGGGAACTCAAAGCCCAGGCTCAATAGCACTCATGGGCTGACAATGTAAGCCTTTCCCCAGAGCACAAGCCTTTTGGCTTCCAAACATAGAGTTAATTATGAAGATGTTAAGCCATATAGTGACTTTACACAGCGTTTCTTCTACGTGGTTTGTGCAACTGCTCTGCTTAATGTATTTCATAGACTAAAGTTGAAACCTTATTAAATTTGTTAATGGTCGATTCTCTCTTTCTCCTTCCTTCTCCAATTAGAAGCAGGATGGCTCTAACTGCTACACAAGCTTTCTACCTGCTGGTGAACAACAAAAGCCTAGCCAGTATGTCCTTGACAATGGCAGAAGTGTATAGGAACTACAAAGATGAAGATGGCTTTGTGTATATGACATATGCTTCCCAGGAGATGTTTGGATGCTTTATGCCCACTGCTCAAGGGGAAACTATGGAATGCCTTCACAAAACTTAAGGTTGGGTCCATGTGCTGCAGTGAAGCAGTTTGCTATGAATCATGCCTGTGACATGAACCTTGGAGATGCTCCTTCCAATATGAGCTCTTGAGCTGTGTAGTGGGGAGTTATGACCCAAAAGCTGGCAGGACCATCTTAAGGCAGAAATGGTGGTACACTTTTCCTAGATAATGCTTTGGATATATATTTTTATATTTGAAGACACTGTGGGGTTTTTTGGAACTGCACCTCCGCTTTTTTGCAATATCAGTCTTTGTTATGTAACTGATTTTTTTTAAGATGTCCTTAAAGCCTGGGTCTGAGAGTAAAATAAAGAAGCTTTTAAGGATTGAGTTGAATGTTAGTTTTAATCTGGGGAAAGACTGTAAAAGTCTTGTCTAGGAGAAGGTCCTAGAATAATTCTGTGAGTGAGCTCAGTGCCTCTTACATGAAGCATTGCTCACATAGCCACTCTGAATTTTTGAGTGGAATAACAAAGCTTAAGTTGGGTTACACAGGAGCAAAACCCATACCTAGAAATGGTTCATTAAACTAGATAGCTGAGTTGAAAGATTAAGCAGACTATACTAGTGCTAGAGCAGGGTTCAAATGAAGAGATAAATTTTACACCTGCATAAACTACTGACAGCTGTTACAGAAAACACTGAAGATCTGTGATGTATGTAACTACTTGTTTAAATAAACAAAACTGATTGCTAGTCAGCATAACCTAAATGCAGGTAGCATGGCTTGAACTGGAGTTTAATAGGGTGTTTAAGACCTTGTTCTCACTACTGAGTTCTGGTAGTCTCGTCTCTGTAGATAGACTGTTATATCCATCCCCTACAGGCACCTGCTTGTCAGTCCCATGAACAACTTCAGTGAGCCTCCTTTCAAGGATGGATAGAGCTATGTCATGTACCTTGTGACTAAGAGGTGTACCAGTGTCTCTAAAGATGTCAAAACTGTCATGTAGTGAGATGGCAATTCATCTTAACATACAGACTTGGTTCCTAAATACATATTAAAGGAACACTTGACGTGAGGCTTAGTCTGAAGTATAGCTTAAGCTATCTTTCCTGCTCTTCCCATACATGAGGAATGTATTGGGAAGTTGTAAATGTTTGATGCTGCATGATCAGCTTAAAGCACCAGGGCATTTAAAAGTCTGTCACAGTGTGCAGTTTATTAATTAACCTCTGGCAGCCTCAGCTTAGGATGGTCAAATTGTTACAATATGATGCAATCCTGTTCAGTACCAAACTGATTTGTAGAATGATTAATGTAGGAATTACTAGGTTGCAAAGAGAGGAGTGTTGACAGTATTTAAGTTATGCATAAGGAAGGAATGTGTGTGTAAGCCTTTTGCAGTGGTTCTCTTGCACAAATAATCTCTTGAACTTAAAGCTCTGACCAGACCTGGGTTCAAGCCTCTAAACCACGGGGTTTAGGGGGGGTACCTGCCTTAGTGAAGGTGATGTTTGCCAACTAATGTTTCACGAGCTGAGGAACAAAGAAATCATTGACCTGACCGACTTAAGTGAAAAGGCTAAGGCTATGTCAGTATAGGTTGTGAAAACATGTGGGCTTTGAGATCCCAGAATCAGTTGCTTGGATAGATTTCACTTACGCTGGTAATGGAAACAGTTTCCATTGCACAAACTGAACTCAAACAGTCATTTGTTGCCAGCCCTCAGGGGGGCAGAGACACCTGTTTGGCAGGAGCACCACACAGCAACGCTGAACAGCTGTGGGAACCTTGGGGTGGGGGGAGCAAGGGGAAGCCTTGCTATGTGCAAGCTCTCTTGCCAGTCTAAGGGCTGGGCTAATATTTTGCTTCAAAGGCTCCTCTGTCTTTCCTGTCTTGTGTGATACTTGGTACATGAAGAGAAATGCACTGCCGATTCTTGGCTGGAGCAATTTTATGTCTGACAGCCAACTTTGGTTTGTAATGTAGTGGCTGAGGTGTGAGTGTTGATCCCTCCAGCATTTATTGACATTAGGCTATGGTGTCTTAACAGGCAGAGTCACAGATCCAGCCAAAAAAATTACACCAGGACAAGGTCAGTTGCAGGTAAAGAGCATCATTATAAACCTGTTTAAACTGGCCTGCTGAACCTAGAGAGAAATCCTGTGAACTGAGAAAGCTTCACCATTGGGTAATAGTAAGAGGCTTGTCCTTCTACCAGGTGTTAAAGCAGTTAGGATTAACCATCAAAGACTGTTTTCAAAAAGTCTTGAATTAATAAACTAGGGGTTAGATGCCCAAATGAATTGGTAATCCTGCTCGTGGAGCTGCGTTGAAGTGACTAAAGCTTTGGATTCAACCTATTGTTTCTTGAAGTGCAAGGAACAAGGATTAGAAAAGAAGCCAACAGAAAACCTTTGCTCGGACTGACATAAGCAACTGAGATAACTGCAGCTACTTCCAATATAGCTGCTGTCTGAAGAGCTAATATTTGCTTGAGCAAATACCTATTGATTAGAGGCAGGTACGTATTTTTTGCAATGAAGGACAACATACTGTGGTAAGTAAATTTTACACCTGCAATGTAAAAAGGGAAGGCAGAGATGCCACTTGCTTGTAAAGGTATCTTCATTTCTGAGTTATGATATGGACTCGTGTTCTTTAATATCAAAAACGTCCATCAGAGAAAAGAAAACATCCTAAAGATACTTCTGTTTCTGACATAGACTGCTAGGTCCTGCTCTGACTTCAAAGCACTTGTGTACGTACATGCTCTGCTGAGTCCACAGCACTCAGTCACTTGTAAGACCAAGCACTGTGTCCCATCTTCAAACAGAAAACTGATCAAACTGAAAAGATGTTGTATGGAAGTGTGGGATAAGGGTTGAAATTACCCTTGATGTGGAGGTATTTTCTTTTTTTTCTTGAATATTGTGTAAAATAGAGTACTGGGGCAGTTGTGACTTAAACATAATGAGTCATACAGAATCATACAGAAAAACACATTAAGCTCTGTCTTTTATAACTTCACCAAGGCACTAAAAAAATTCAAATGTTAATAATCACAGATACTGCTGGAGTTATTAAAAAGGAAATACAAAAGCAGCTAAAATCTGAGGCTGCAACCTTGCTGCACAAAAATCATGGAACCGTAGAATGTTTGGCTTGGAAGGGACCTTAAAGACCATCTAGCTCCAACCCCTCTGCCATGGGCAGGGACACCTACTAGCAGACCAGGTTGCTTGAAGCCCCATCCAGCCTGGCCTTGAACACTGCCAGGGAGGGGGCAGCCACAGCTTCTCTGGGCGACCTGGCCCAGTGTCTCACCACCCTCACAGTAAAGAACTTCTTCCTAGTATCTAATGTAAATCTCTCCTCTTTCAGCTTGAAACTGTTACCCCTTGTCCTCTCGCTACCCTCCCTGATCAAGAGGCCCTCCCCACCTTTCCTGCAGGCCCCCTTTAAGCACTGGAAGGCCGCTGTAAGGTCTCCCCAGAGCCTGCTCTTCTCCAGGCTGAACAACCCCAGCTCTCTCACAGGGGAGGTGCTCCAGGCCCCTGATTGTTTGTCAGGCATGATTTGCCCTTGGTTAAGCAAAATGATGTTTTAATTGAACATGCCATTTATGTCTGTAATGTATGCCTGCACTGTGACTGCTCTGGGAACAGGATCATTTTCAAGACCTGAACAAACTTCACTCCTGAGGCGCACGCTGTTGGCTGCGTGCACTCTGAATGCTCATAAGGGCAGCTGAAGAAGTAGCAATTCAAATAAACAACACATAAGCTCTTGGGTTTAGTCAAAAAAAAAAAAAAAAAAAAAAAAAGTCTTACTTGTATTTCAAGTGTGTAGAAATTTTTTTTTTTTTCTGTGCCTGCTAAGATTAGAGATTCATCTGTCTGAACTTTCCTCGCTACAGCTGGTGTCCTACAGCCATATACAATCACAGCTACAAACTGTACAATGCTTTATGGAGTGCAAACTGACATTTGTTGCTGCAAGGCGAACATGATAACCTCAGCTTGGGCTTTAGCTCATAAGCAACAGCAGGAGCTTTCCAAACTGGGTTTAAAAATGACAACATTGTGTGTGGGTAGAATAAATAACTGAATTAATGTGAATACTAATCTTCTTGCTCAAATAAGTACTGCAGGCAACAAGTCTTGTGAACTTAGATGGGCTTTTTATTGTTTTGCTGTGCTAACTACTTCCAGATGGTGGTAGCTTCAGGGTAAAAATATTGGAAAAGATAGACTGTTAAACACACTGAGTGACAGACTATATCCTCCTCCTCCTTTTCAAATGAGGTGTTTTGTTTATGTAAGATACAGTAAATTGAGAAGGTCAAATGAAATTCTCTCAAATATAACCTTCAGGATCAAATTGCTCTGCTAAATTTCCCTTTCAAGAAAGCCCCTATAGAAACTATGGGGAGAAAACCAAAAGACCTAACCAGTAGAAAAGCTATTTTTAGAATGCTGTTTTTTTAACTTATGGACTATGAAGAGTCCATTTTCTGTGGAAAACTTCCAAGCAATTCATGAAAGGTGACTGAGAAATGCAATTTCATGTATGTTGCAGTACAACTTAGGTGCAGAACTAATGACACACACTCTTCCATTAAGGGTCACTGTTCCAGAAAGATTTCTAGAAAACTCTCCTGAATTTTAAAATACCCCATTCTTTTCATACAGTTTTGAATCACCCTCTCAAATTTGGGGGGGGGGGGGAGGTTCTGCCTATATATATGTGCTTAGTTTCTTTAGCTTTCCTAAGACACTTGTAATGGTAGCTGTTCTCACGTTTTTTTTCCCTGATGATTTTAGGTTGCTTCTTAAGAGCATAAGTTTCTTGATTATCTGCTACTTGTTCCTATACAGTCCACAACATGGAAAGGCAGTTGGGTCCTATAATATATAACAGTCTGACCCTAGTTTAGAGGAACATTAATATAATTTTAGCGAAGGTGGCTAATGCCCTTAAGGGTTCCCTCCAGAAAGTCATAATGATATCACTCTCTGTCTCTTGTGGCCGTACATTTTTGTGACACACAATTGTAGCAGTGTAGTCCAGGTGGGTTTTGAAGAACATCTAGCAAGTATTGAAGCTACAGTTTGAAAAGCAGCACTGCCCCTTCCACCTCAGCAGCCGACCTCAGGAGGGAGGGAGTGTGCCCGGCCAGCTGCACAAGGAGTTTCCAGAGGCTGATGAAGGGCTGCTCAGGCCACTCAACACTGACATCATGTCCGGCAGGGACTGTAAAGGGCCTTTATGAGGCTGATCAGGATTTGTTGCAGGGTGGGCTTGGCCAATGGTATTTATTTTTGCAAATACTC